CACAAGTGAGTGATTTAGTTTTCCACGAGTGCTGTATAGCGTTTTGTTCAATCCTGTTACTAATAAAAATTTAAAAAGAAACTGTGTAATAGTTATTTTTTAAGCATCTGAAAAAAACATAGTAGGTAGTTTTCGTTGTTATGGTTCCCATGAGATCTGCGTAAAACAATTGACACAATCTGTCAACAAATTATAATTGTAGCAAAAGTGTGCGCGTTTAGATTTCCAAGAAAATGGAAGATGAAAATAGTGTATTTGTGCCAGATAACATTTTGGAAGAAGCGAATGCAGCGACATTTAATTTATTACCGAAGAAATCCAGACAGATACATCAAGGAGTTGGAAAAATTTCGGTCGTGGATGGAGAACAGAAACGTAAATGTTGTAATTGAAGAAGTAGTGGTTGCTTATTTCAATGGATTGATACAAAAATACGCTGCCCCTTCTTTATGGTCTATATTGTCGATGCTTAAATGCACCCTATTTGTTTTTGAGAAAGCAAGTAAGTTTTAGTTCATTATTAATTTACTGGTTGTAATATATGAAATGTTTTAGGTTTAAAACCTTGTTCGCGATTCTAAAAAGTAATTCTAAGGGTTATCAACCTAAAAAAGCGAAGACATTTGATCAAAGAGAAGTGGAAGTGGAAAAGTTCAAGTCCCTGGTATCAATCAACCAATTTTTAACAATTGAAATGTTAATTTTCATATTTATAAGTAATTTTGTTGCTTTGTATCTATTAGTGATGAATTATGAATAAATAAAAGTTCAGCGTATGTGTACCTATTATGAGTGGGTGAAAATTTTTCACTCACTCTTTTCGCTCACCCGTTGCTATGGAAATAGTTTGAATGGGTAAAACAAACACTTTCACATTTGGTATCTAAGGCTGGACAGTACACCCGTTCCGTTGCCCGAAAATACTTGATTTCGTTCCACGATAGGTATCTTAATTCTGAGTGAAGATGAAGAAGGGGTCGAATATTCCTGTGAAAGGTGAATGCTTTAGCTAGACAATAACGCCGGGGTTTACTAAAATGCTTTAAAATAAGCTTTTTTTTAAGGGCAACGTCGAGGGCTGTTAGGGTGTCATATTTTGGAAAAGAAAAAAAGAAATAAATTTTCCTGGCGTTATTGCCTAGATATTAAGTTTACGAACGTATCTTAATTTTGGAAATTGTTCCAACTTCATTTATAGATAAGTTATCTTGGAAAAACAACTTAAAAGTTTTCCTCAGAAGCGCGAAAAGATAGCTTCCGCCGCGTGGCTGGTTTTATACAGATAGAAAATATGCATTATAATTGGACTAAGTTTATGTTTTTACCATCGAACACAAATTAATATTATAAATAACCAAATTTGGGGATTGACAATAGGCAACTTTACATACTCCGTTCTGTATGTACTGTCCAGCCTTAAGTAAGAAACACTTGTTTTCAATGACAGGATTGGAAAAAACGATATTTGTGTTGCCTATATACGAGTATTCAAGAATTCAAGATCATAATCTACGTACACCCAACTTACAACAAAAAAGGGTTTTCA